CAGTCTACTTGTAAGTACCTCCTTCCCCTCCCTCCTCCTTCCTCCCTCCCCTCCCCCCTCCCCCCCCGCCCCCCGCCCCCGCGCCGCCTCACCACCCAACCGCCTCACCCTCCCACAGAATCTGTGCCCGAACTGGCATCAACGCGGGTCCTCTTTGCCGACTACAAGTACACCTTTGTCTGCGGCGAGTGCGTGGGGACCGAGGTCGGCCACGCCCGGTTCGAGCGCCTGCCGCGGGCGGTGATCGACATGGCCTTTGTTGCCCTCTTTAACATGCACATGGTCGCCGGCCATGCCGGGCAGCTGGATGCCGAGGCTGCAGAGCAGGGAGATGCGCTTAGCGAGGCCGAGTCGTTCACCTTTGCCGACATCGACGCCTTTGTCCGCTCGCACTGGTTCTTCCTCACTGCCGAGCCACTCATCGACGACACTCTCAGCTCCACCCTCTTCACCACCCTGCTCAAGCACCCGGAGCTGTTCCGCAAGCTCGAGCCGCAGCCCGACGTGCTTGAAGTTGCCGAGAGGGCTGCGCCGCCGGCGCGCAACGGCAAGCGCACCGAGGTCGTGTCGTCGGTCGATGCTCGCTTCCAGCTCACCCGCTTCCACCCGTACTGGGCCTCGTCGCTCGACGCCCTTGCCGCCCGCTACCCGCACCTTACTCACGTCGAGGAGCGGCCAGAGCTGGTGCAGCTCGCTGTCGAGTCTTTTGGCGAACCTCCTGCCGCCCGCCGTCCGTCGGCCTCAGGCCTCGTTGCCCCGCGCGCCCTGAGCTGGACCTCGGCCCGGGCTGGTCAGGTCCACTCGTACCTCGACTTTGTCTCTGGCCTTTCGCACTCAGCTGTTGCCGCCCGCCGCCGCTCGTCTAGGTCGTCGGCAGGCAGCCTTACCCGTGCTCTGCATCCGGCGGCCGGCGTCACCCCGCCGCGCTCGCCGGCGCCCAAGAAGCGCGGCCGCCCGCGCAAGTCGCAGTCGCGCAATGCAGGCGACAAGGCTCCGAAAAAGCGCAAGCCGCGCGGAACAGTGCCCGAGGGCGAGGTCCAGCACACCAAGTCCCATCCGCTCGGCTCCATCATCTTTGGCGTCAAGGCTATCATCAATGGCTTTGAATGTGTTGGCTGTGGCTACGTCTCGCGCTGGGCCTGCAACGTCAAGCGCCACATCAAGACTGCCACCTGCGGCATCGAGTTGGGCCTGATTGACTCTGCCACCCGCGAGGCCAACCGCAAAAAGTACTCGGGCAAGTCGGCAAGCTCACGTGCCAAATCCGCCAAGACCTCGGCCGGCCCGCCTCGCAAAAAAGCCAAGAACAACGCTGGCAAGCCGACGCCGCCGCCGCCGCCGCCGCCCACTGCTACCGTCGCTGCAACTGCCAGCGTCGACGCCGAGTCTGAGACTCTCTCGTCCTGCTCTTCGATCTCGTCCGACTCTGACCTGTCGTCGTCGTCGTCGCTCATCTCATCTTCATCACTCACCTCGAGCTTGACGTCATCGGTATCGCTGGCCAAGCCGCCACCCACAAGTGTTCCGACTGTAGCTGCAAGCTCTCCGCCGTCGGCGACGCCGGCCGCTCCGCCGGCACCACCGCCGACCTCGCGCTCCGGCCGCCGCCGCAAGGTTCCGGCCAAGCTCCGCGAGGTTGCCCTGTCCGACTTTGAGACCTCGCAGCTGTACCCACAGTCGCTTCTTGCAGCAGCGGTCAGCTCGGCTGCTGTCAACTCGCCGTCGTCGCCCTCGCCGTCCCCGGTCCAGCCGCGAGCTTCGCCGCTCTCGATTCGCCTGCCGTCGACAGCCAGCAGCGCCCACGCTGCCTCTCCTCTGCCCAAGATCAAGATCAGGATGTCTCGCGAGCAATAAGCAAGTGGTTATGATGCCTGGGCCCGCGCGCACGCTGGGTGCCGCGAGCGCAGTCGTAAAACAATGTCCATCAGCGCCGTTCTCGTTCAATCCGTCTTGGCGTGCGTTGTTGCCCGCGCGCGCACCGCCCCGAAGAGGCTCACGTTACAGACGAGCCACGCAGCCGCAAAGTGGGCGAACGACCACACCGCAAAGGCATGCGCCCAAAGGTATGGCAGGGCTGCCGGCGGTGCCACAAACGCGTCCGCCGCGTGCAGCATCACCATGCCTGCCGCCGACACCGCCATCGCGCCCGCACTCCACAAGCCAAAGCGCGCCCTGCCGCCGGTCAGCACAACCATGCCCATGCAAAATATCAGCACAACACCAAGGTACGTGACAGCTAGCCCGTCGCGGACAAGCAGGTGGAACATCGAGAAGACGGCGGCCACAGAGAGCCACATGATCTCCAGCGGCGCGGCCGGAGCAAGGAGCGAGAGCGGGAGCATTGGGAAGAGAATAGACTTCTCGTGGACGTGGTACGAGAAGAGGAAGAACGCAAGACCACCGGCGGCGAGGCTGAGAGTCAGTGCTGACCGTCCAGCGGGGGAGAGTGTGCCACCGGGCGCTACGCCGCCTCGTGCCAGGACCATCGCCGCCATCACCGACGACGGCAGCGTCGCCGCTAGCGTCACACCCATGGTCAGCGTCCGCTGCCCTGCCATGGACCACTTGGTCTTGATCCTGAGGATAGGATCGAAGACGCACCACGCTGAAGCAACCTTGTCCTCAAACAGACCGCGCTGCCAGGGAAACAGTCGTGAGAGCGCCGCCGCAAGCGGCGAGTCGGCATCCCACGGCATCGTGCCATCAGCAGTCGGCAGGAGCCATGGGAGCCAGACTACGGCAGTGGCCACCAGCACAACGCTTGCGTTGAGTGCAATAAAGCGAAACGTCCCGCCCCACGACCGTGCAGCCAACGCCATGCCTACCACCGCAAAGAAGACAGGCAGCGCAAAGTAGAGCGCCATGTGCTTAAAGTACACCGCACCGATAAAGGCTGCAGCCGCAACCGCCGGCGCGCCCGCGCACCACGAGTTGATCGCCGCCAGCACTAGGCCGAGCGCCACGCAGTTGTACTGAAAATGACCGTGGTCGATGAGGATGTGCCCGGGCTGGAGCCAGAGGGCCCAGAGGGCGGCAAGGAGCGCTGCCCGGCTGCGGACAACACCGAGCCGCAGCGCGATGGGCAGGGCAGCGAGGGCAGGGAGGGCAAAGAAGAGCACATCCGACACCAGCGCCGATCCCCGCATCAGAGCCTTAGACGAGGCCGAGGCGTAGCCACGCGAGACCGTTTCGGCCACCATGGACGGCTCGAGTGCGGCGGCGAGCCAGCCAAAGGCCTTGGCGTGGTACGCCTGCAGCGGCGGATAGTCCAGGCCCCAGTAGTCGAGATCATTGCGCGACGAGTTGCGGTACCACTCGGTCGGCCCCAGCACCTGCGTGAGCTCCATCCAGTGCCGCTGTGCCTCGTAGTCGCCCCATCGCGGCGGCGAGTCCCACCCCGAGTAGGGGCCGACACTCACCGCCGCCCGCACCACCACGCCGGCCGCCAGCACCGCCAGTACCGCCCCCGCCACGCTCCACGCCCCTGTCCCGGTCTCTGCCGTCGGCATGGCTGTCATGCGTGGCTCTCTGTCTGCGACTGCCGAGTCAAGTGGCACCAATGCCGTGCGGCCCGCCTTCAGCGAGGGCGGGGTGACCCACTGCCGGGGCGGGAGGGGGGGGGGGAGGGGGGGGGGGCGCACCCCACCACCACACAGATCAAATGGGTGCACCACGGGAAATGAGGATGTTGCTGTTGCTGTTGTTGTTCTTGTTGTCGTTACGTTACGTAGCATGCGTGGTGACCGATAGTGGCTGGTCCTCCCCTTGCTCGACTGCGTGTGTCCCCCCCCCCCCCCCCCCCAGTGACTGCTGTGGTGACCAGACGACGCGGCAGAGCGAGTGGGCGGGCGTCAGTGACAGCGACAATGCAGGGGCCGTGTATGCAGGCTCGCTACCGAGGGGAAGACCGCACCCCACTCCACCTCCACCCTTCTGCACCCTTGTGAGAGGCCAGGAGAGCGAGGGCCAGGAGCGGAAGAGAACAAGTCTGCGAGCGAGAGCAAGAGCAAAGAGCACGAGCAGGCGGCAGAGGTGACGAGGATGGAGGTGGTGCAGAGCCTCCTCGATTCCAACCCGTACTTCTCGGCGGGAGCCGGGCTGGCGGGCATCGGAGTGGCACTGACCATGCTGCGGCGAGGGCTTAATGTGGCGACACTTGTGGCCCAGCGGAAGCTCCTGGTGACGCTCGAGGTGACGTCCAAGGACAAGGCCTATCCCTGGGTCCTCGCCTGGCTCAACGCAGAGGGCCGGGCCACCCAGCACGTCTCGGTGGAGACCATCATCCGGCAGAAGACCAACGGCTCGACATCGACCGAGTATCTGTACCAGCCACGGCCCGGACGGCACTTTTTCTTCCATGAGGGCCGGCCGTTTATGGTGGAGCGAACGCGCGAGAAGCAGATGATCGACATGACGTCGGGCGCGCCGTGGGAGACGGTGACCATCACCACGCCGGGCATGTCGCAGCAAGACATGTCGGTCTTCAACGACTTTCTGCGCAACGCCCAGAGCCTGGCCTCCAAGCGCGACGACGACAAGACCATCATCTACACCGCATGGGGCACCGAGTGGCGGCCGTTTGGCCATCCGCGCCGCAAGCGCCCACTGGACTCGGTCATCCTAGACACCGACAAGGGCGAGTCGCTGGTGGGTGACGTCACCGAGTTCCTCCAGTCCTCGCAGTGGTACATCGAGCGCGGCATCCCTTACCGGCGCGGATATCTGCTTCACGGTCCGCCGGGCTGCGGCAAGTCGTCGTTTATCACCGCGCTCGCCGGCGAGCTCGACTACGGCATCTGCATCCTCAACCTCAACGACCGCGGCATGACCGACGACCGGCTCGCCTACGCGCTCTCCGAGGTCCCGCAACAGTGCATTGTGCTCCTTGAGGACATCGACGCGGCGTTCCCGGACCCGACTGCGTCGCGGAGGATGGAGACCGACTCGTACCTCACCTTCTCGGGCCTGCTCAACACCCTGGACGGCGTGGCGTCGTCGGAGGACCGCCTCCTGTTCATGACCACCAACCACCTGGACCGGCTGGATCCAGCGCTCATCCGCCCGGGTCGCGTCGACTACATCGAGTACATCGGCCACGCAACGACGCCGCAGGCCCGCAAGCTCTTCACCACCTTTTATCCCGAGGCCAGCACTGCCGTGGCCGACGCGTGGGCCGACGCCACCGGCGAGGGGCGGTATTCGGTTGCCACGCTGCAGGGCGTGCTGATGCGGTACAAGGACGAGCCGACGCGGCTGGTGAGCGAGCTGGAGTCCGCACTCCCGCCGCCGCAAGTGCTCGCGGTCCCGGCGCTGCCGTCGATGCAGAGCTTGACCGAGCCGGCGCCAGGCGAACTGTGAAAAGGCACATGCTACTGCCCTCCCTACCACTTGTTGAGCGCCATCCGCGAGTGGTCGCGCTCGGCGATAAAGTACATGGGCACAAACGAGATGGTCGACGAGTTGGCGGCAACCGAAGCAAGGAGGGCGCCGCGGCCAAAATTGGGCCGGAAGACCGGGCTAAGCGGTACGCCGTCGGCGTCTTCGTCGAGGCAGGCCTTGATGACGCCGCGCGGCGCAAGCTTAAAGACCGGCGAGGTGGTGGCGTGGAAGGTGAGCATGTATGGCGAGTCGCGGAAGGCGACGACCAGGCGCTCAGACGAGTCGTCCCAGGCCAGGCTCGAGATGGCACCGCCGAGCGTGACCGAGCCGGGTGGCGGGTGAGAAGGCTCAGCTGACGGCTCGTCGTCACCGCCGGGGCTCTCGGCGTCGGCTTTGCCGGCGGCGCGACTGGCGGCTGGCCGGTCAAAAGTGGCGGTGGTGTTGGGGGTGGCCGGCAGGTGATGGACCTGGCAAAACTGGGCGTCAATGACCGGCGGAGAGGCATCGAGGCGCATGGCGTACACCTCGCTGCAGCCCTCAAGCGAGAGGAGGAGAAAGTTAGAGTCTGCTGACCAGACGGCCGAGTTGACAGGCGCCTCGAGCGACCACCGCTCGCATGCCCACGTAGCTGTCTCCCAGATGCGGAAGACGCCCGAGTTGGTGGCGGCAAGCAAGTAGTGGCCCGATGGCGACCACGAGACAAGGGTGGTGCCCGCGCCGGAGCGGGCGAGGCGTGTCGGCAGCCCGAGCTCCATCGACCACACAATGAGGTCCGACGATGACGGGCAGGCCATGGCGAGGTGGGTGCCTGCCGGATGCCACGAAAGCGAGGTGACCGGGCCTTCGCCGCAAGTCAGGAACCGCATCCACGGGTGTGGGTGCGGGCACGGGCCGAGCCTGCACCGGCGCCACCCATCCGCGACGCGCGCATCGACTCGTTTCCGGCACGGGTGCTCGCACCGAGCATTGAGCTGCGGAACGAGGCTGCCATGCCAGTCGCCGACAAATCATGGCCGTCTGCGCCTGCCTGGCCGGCAACGCCCTCAGGACGGGGGATTGGCAGTGACCAGACGGCCACACCCGATGCAGTGCCGACCGCGAGGACGTGGCCCGCCTGTGGCTGCCAGGCCATGGAGAACACATCCTGCTGAAACTCGTGGCGAAGCGAGAACGGGATCCATTCTTGGCTCATCAGGTCGTAGACATGGACTGATCCGTCACGGAGCGCCACCCCAAGGCGGTGGAGGTACGGGTGCCAGGCGAGCTTGCGGACCGAGGTCATGGTCCCGACCCACCCGGCGCCGCCGAGATACGCCGGCAGCTTCTCCCGCGACACATCCGGCGACATGATGCGCAGACTACGGAGGAGAAACAAGAGAGCGGCGACGAGCCAGACGACCACGCCATGGACCGAGAGTAGCGGCGCGGCAGCATCAGTAGCCCACGCCCGCCACGCCGCCATCTTGTCAGCCAGAGGCGACGGGCGGTGCTTGAGGGTAGGCACCGTAAACGGCTCGGGCGTCTCGGGCAGCGGCGGGATGTGCAGCGCAGGGTAAACGACTCCCTCGGCCTTGTACAGTCGATGCAGCTGAGCATCAGACGATGAGGGGACATTGACTGTGGGTGGGTGAGGGTGAGGGGAGGGGGGGGGGGGGACGGAGGATGCGGATGGGGATGGGGATGGGGGATGGGGATGGAGAGCGTACTCATGGTGCAGTCCAGTTCGCATATTGTCTGTTGTGTGTGGGGTAGAGGGATCGGGATCTCTGTGGATATAGAGCCGAGAGGAGGAGCGGTGAGGGTGACGGCGGTGAGTGGCCAGAGGTGTAGGAGAGGACGGGGAGGGGTGGGGGGACAAAGGACGGGAGGGGAGGTGAAAGGGGGGGCGTACGTTCGAGGACAGGGCGGTGGTCGAACTCGCGCACCACCTCCATGAGTAAGGGTGTGTGTGTAGGGGTTGTGGAGTGTTAGGTGGAGTGTTGTGTTGCAAGGGAGTAGCGGGGTGAGGGTGGGGGTGGGAGTGGGAGTGGGAGTGGGAGGGCTTGGCGCGTTGGGCGGGTGGGCCGGGTGGGCAGAGAGGGGGGGGGATGGGGATTGTGTTTGGCGAGAGTGTGTGATGGAGAGTGTGATGAGGCGAGAGAAGTGGAGAGAAAGAGGAGATGGAGGATGTGTGGGGTTTCGGGAGTGGGGTGAGTGGGATGGGTGCGGAGAGGGGTATGTGTGTGAGCGGGGGAGGGAGAGACGGGAGAGGGAGGGGAGGGCGACCATGGTGACCATCCCAGAGGAAGGCGACACGGGAAGACGGAAGGAGGAGGGAGGAGGGAGGGGTGGGGGGTGGGGGGGGGGGGGGGGGGCGACACTCTTCTTGCACACGTATT